GTCTGTTGGTACGCCTGTTCCCTTGTAGGAAGAGGAGACCCGTGTCTACAGGAGGGGTGGGACTGGTATCGTATCTGTAACTGACACAGGCAGAGTGGTATAAAATCAGGTCCGGAGGATGCTTTGGGCTTTGCCCCTGCTAATTTCTGCGCGCTCTGGCCCTGATCTAGCAAAGCACAAGTTGAAGTGTGTGAGTAATCAGGAACAGGAACAGTTAATTGGGAAGAGCCCATGCACAGACAAACCCTTAGTGACCCTGGGAATCTAGCTTTGATTTAGGAAGGGTTTAAACAGCAACAGGGGAGGGTGTCCTAGATCAGGGCCCGACAGCAGAAATGACTGCAGTTAGACTGGGAAAACGCCTATGTCTGTATGGACCAGTCACTTGTGTCTGTTTCCTAGGGCAAACTCCAAGTCCTTGGAAGCCTGCAGTCCCTCCAGATGTATCCTCCCTACCCTGAAGTGTCTGAGCAGCACGCTAGACATAGACGCTGTGAATCTGATAACAAACCAAACCGCGCCCCCACCCCCCAAAAGAGTCGGTAGCAGCGTTCGGTCTGTATTTAACGGTTCATGTTTTCGTTTGCTGTAATGTAAGAAGGAGCTCTCCAGGCCCCACGTGGCATTTTTAGTTTCTATCCAGCATGAAGGATTTGAAGGTGATAAACAAATGTGAATTTTTTTTTTTTTTTTAGAGACTTTTTATTTTCCTGCTGTGACTCTTTCAGGTGGAAGTGTACCGGGGTCGTCATCCACTGTAACGAATGTATCATTTTAATAACAGGCTGGTTTGGGAGACAGTCTGCTGAACCTGGCGCTTTTTACGTTTGCTCTTGGTTTTATCTACCTCATTTATTTTTTTTTTAGTGCCGTTTGAATCCAGCCTCCAATTTCCCGATGTTGCTTTATTTCCACCCCTTGTCTTATGGATTCAAAGTGACATTTGATCTTCCGTTTTCTAAGTTAATTATTTGTGTAGTGATCGCATTTGCTCTCTTGAGTGGCAGATCTCCCCCTGAATTCAGCTGGATGAATGAAAATACGATTTAGTGCACAGTTGACCTGGGATCTTTGGGGAAAGCTGGAGCGCCGATCCGCCTTTCAGTAGCAACGATTTGAAACGCTTGTTTTGTCAACAGAAACAACCCTCATGAATTATTTGTGTCCCCAATTAAGCCATCAAAATAAGCCAAGCCACTGGCATTGTTCCGCGGGGCGTGATTCTTAACGTCCCTTTAAGGTGTTTTATTTAAAAGTCGTTAAAATGATGCATTCTGGGCTGTTTCGTTTCTGAAACCCAGCAGTCTGTCTGTCCTTCATTTTACACGTTCTTACTCTGTCGAGGTGAAATGTTTGGTGAAAACTATGTTAACCTGAAATACATTTGGATTTTCGTTTTTTAATATTTTGTTTCTTTGTGGTAGTTATAAATCTCCAATTCATCCCAGCAGCAAGCAGGAGTGTGTGGGTTGGGGGAGCGGGGGGGACGGGACACAGGGAAAAAATTCTCCACTTCCTTCGCCCACCACCTCCCTCGACCAACGTGAATAGACCCGTGTGGGTCCTAATGTGAGGTTGAGCCCCCGGGAAAACGATCCGCTCAGCTGGGCCGGGCAGGACTTGCTTGTAACGCGGACGCAGCTCGTTGTGAAGCACAGCAGCGCAGCCCCGTCCCTCCAGCTTCTCTGCGGGGCCAAGCGTTGAGCTAGTGGGGAGCGGCCTCGCCCTGTCGCTGCTGTGAGCCCCGCCCGAATCGAGAACCCCCCTGCTTTCCCAGAGAGGATTCTGGGTAACGTGAATGAGGCCCCTCCCCCTATTCCCGAGAGGTTTCTGGGTAATATCAATGAGGCCCCTTGCCCTGTTCCCCAAGAGGATTCTGGGTAATGTCAAGGAGGCCCCTTGTCCTGTTCCCCAAGAGGATTCTGGGTAATGTCAAGGAGGCCCCTTGCCCTGTTCCCCAAGAGGATTCTGGGTAGTGTCAATGAGGCACCTCCCCCTTCTCAGAGAGGATTCTGGGTAATATAATCCCTTTCCCTCAGCACTGTGGGTAAGGAGGCTACTGTGAACTGTCGGCTGCTTTGGACTACACCTCCCAGCATGCCCTGTGGCTAGAAAGCAGGGAGGGCAAAGGTGGCTGAGGGCAGCAATGGCCGTTGGGAGTTGTAGTCCTTGCCGGTCACGCCACTGGGGAGACTACAACTCCCATGAGGCTCTGCGACGGACAAGATGGCGATCTGGGAACCGCACTACAAGTCCCATGCGGCCTTGCGACGTACAAGATGTCGTTTTGCGAGCCGCACTACAACTCCCATGATCCCTTGGGAGAGAAGCGGCACCCGGCAAGATGGCGACCTTAGGGCGCACGGTAGCCTGGAAGCCGGGCACTGCAACTCCCATGAGGCCATACGCCGCCTTGCTCGACGCACCGGACAACATGGCGGAGACGGGCTGGAGGGGGGCTCGCTCGGGCTGCCGGGAGTCGTAGTCCGCGCCCTCCCGCGCCCTCAGTGCTAACGGGCCTGCCCTGACGGAAAGGACTACAACTCCCATGAGCCCACGCGAAGGCGACCCGGACAACATGGCGGGAGGGCGCCGCTCTTCCCGCAGGGCCTGCCGGGACTTTTAGTCCCGACCCCTCCCGCCCGTCCATGGGTTCTAACGGGCGCACCCCGAGGGAGCAAACTACAACTCCCGACGTGCCCCGCGGCCGGGCGGGGGAGGGGCTGGCAGGGAGGCGGAGAAGGAGAAGAAAGCTACAACATGGCGGCCACGGCCGCCCCAAAGCGCTGGGCGCTGTGAGGGGGGGCGGGGAGGAGCCCAGGAGCCAGCCCCCGGTTAGGGGAGGGGGGCTCCCGCCCCCCCTCGCCCTGACCCCGAAGTGGGGCCCACCGCGATGGGGGTCCAGGGCTTCCAGGAGTTCGTGGAGAAGCGCTGCCCGGGCGCCGTGGTGCCCGTCGACCTGCTCAAGCTGGCCCGGGCGGCGGGGGTCCGCGGGGGGCCCCCCTACTGCGGCCTGGCCGGCTACCTCCAGCCGCTGCCCGGGCCCTACCCCCCGCCTCTCACGGCCCACTCCCAGCATGCTCCGGGGTTAGCGTCGGTAGCTCATTCCCAGCATGCTCCGGGGCTGGCGTCAGTAACTCATTCCCAGCATGCTCCGGGGCTGGCGTCAGTAACCCACTCCCAGCATGCTCCGGGGCTGGCGACGGTGGCGGCCCACTCCCAGCATGCTCCGGGGCTGGCGACGGTGGCGGCC